ATTGTACCTAGTGTAGTTTTTGTTTGAGACGGCCCTATTGTCTCCACTTCATAAATGATCAAAACTTGTATTAGTGACGAAGCTGTCTACAACACTAACATGATGTTGGATCCTCGAAATCATATCCGATGATCGGTCTAATCAAAATAGATCGGTTTAGATATAATAGTAGTAGCTAGGTAAAACCGATGTTGCATATGCACGTTTTTGGTGTTGTTGGGTAAAGTTCTTCTTGTACATGCACATGCAATATAGTTGGAGTGATTGGCCTTGATTGGTATAGTTTTTTGATGAGCAGTAGCATAATGCAGCATTAGCAGTAAGCAGCTGGAACAGTATGTTCTAATTAATATACACATTTAGCTGATTGGTTGAGTTGTGAATGATTAGATATAAAATTAAAATAAATTATTTTATTTTACTTATTTATATGTATTACATTATATATATATATATATTAGTCATAAGTTATAACATCAATTTTTATTTTTTAATTAAATTATTATTTGATTATAATACTATTTCACAAATAATATGACAAATAAACTAATGGTATATATTAAGTTTTCATTTTAATATAAATATAAATATGTTTAAGAATTATAAATTTTAATATTTAAGTTATATTTTTATTAAAATTTATTTAAAAAATAATAGAACATATAAAAAATGATAAATATTAATATATATATATATATATGTTTTATAATTACAGAAATTATGTATATTTACTTTTATTGAAATGATTGTATATATTATATTTATAAATTATAACATAAATTTCTTTTATAATCTTTTCGAATTTAAATTATATTTAATTGAATTAGTATTATATTATAATATTATCTTAATATAATAGAATAAATAAAATAATGATAAATATGAATTTAAATAATTAAAAGTTAAATAATTTGTTTTTGTTGTAATCTAAAATAAATTGGTTAGTTATATAATTTTATTTTTAATTTTTATAAAATTATTTAGAGATCAATGCTCTGAAAATGCTCCATTTGAGAGCATTGAGGGGGGAGCATTTTGAGAGCATTTGCAGTTACTAAATGCCCTACTTAATACTCCGTCAACCAATCAAATTTTAATGATTAAAGGTATAATGCTCTTTAAAATGTTTCTGCCAATCAAACCCAATAACTTAAGTCGGTTATAGTTATCATCCTTTTTCAAAATATCTTTTGTTTCTAAAATATCGTTTCATTTTGCAGTTTAACTGTCAAAGCGACCGTATTGATGAAACTCTTTTGCTACGATGAAACAAAAGTCGATTTGATAAATTGGAAAATTAACTAATCGTCCACCTAAACTGATTAATAAATCTAGATATTGATTTTAACCGTCTAATTATTCACAAAATTGTAAGTTATTACCAAAAGGGCATAGAGGAGGATTAGATTAACTCAGCACCGATAGGAATTATATCGAGGTGTATAGTTCTCTTATGCGATGCTAAAATACACTTTTTTTTTTGCTTGCCTGTCAAAATAAACTATCCAAGGGAGATCAAATTTCAAGTTGGAACATAAGTGTGAAGACAAATTGTGGTCTTTGCGATGGTCGAGTCTCCAAATCATTCCTTCTATTTATGATCATTTTCATCTTAGGTCTGGGAAACTTTAGTGACAAAATTCCTCTTGGCTAATTTCTTTAAGTATTGGGAACAAGTAATCCATCTCCTCTACAACTTGACTTTTGATAAACTTAAGCTCTTTTTATTTTGCGATATGTCTTTTAAAACCCGATATCCGACGTATAGAGAAAACCCAATCAACGATGGCATAGTGAAGTCTCGTTGTTTCCAATTTGTTTTGTTATAAGTTGATTAAAATATCCAAAAGAGAAAAAAATTGATACGTATCAATTGTTATTACATTTATTTTGTGACGCAAATGGTCTTGTGGCTTACAACGACGTTTCAATCCGAATCACTTTTTTGTTTGAATATTCTTTGTTCTAAATTAAAATTACATTTATTTTTATTTTTTTGTTAAATTTACCAGTTTAGCTGCTTAAAATTTCTTATTTTCTATTTGTAAAATTTCATTCTTAAAATCGATTTTTCGGCGAATACTTAAAATAAATAGAAGACGATTATTAAACTAAAACAACTACGATGAGAAAAACAAAATCTTCAGTTCCGAATTGTACAAAATTACATTTATTACAAAAATGTTTTGCTTAAATAAATAATTTTATATTTATTAAAAAAAACAGTTATTATAATCAGTAACAGCGTTCCTTGTCTTACGCACTGTCATTGGGACAAAAATTAGTCAATATTCCGCAATGTTTTTTTTTCTCTTTATTAAAGTATATATCCCGCAATTTCCACGCACGACATTTCTTTACTTTGGAAATTAATAGACACCAAGAAAAACAAATATCCTTTTTGCTGTGAAAAACAAATATCTAGTTAATGTACGAATTGCATGACATTTAAA